TGGATAGGTATTCGTCATGTTGCATTTCAAATCTTTTCAAGACAATTCAGTACTACAACTTGCTTGCAAAAATCGATGCTACTAAACCCGGTTTTTTAGCTCCAGAACCCACACCATATTCGTGGCAGGCAACACTCCTAAAAATTCATATGTAACATCATTTTGCAACATGAATAGTTGCGTCTGAATAGATGAATATATGTGTAATGGTTGCACTTAATTCATAAATGGACAACGATTGGCCATTCGTCTTCGTGCTGCAGTATCTACATGGAGTGGAATGTATATGCTGTGGTTGTTGTATGCTGTACGCTTTTATACAAACTTTTTCTGGGCACTTCTGGCCTGAGTTCTTCAGGATAAATCACTGATGAATAGGCTACCGCGTCTTTCTGCCGAGCAGGCTGAAAGCGCATTTAAGCGATAATTTCGTACGTCCGGTGCAAACAAACAAGATTTCCCAACTGAGAACGCTTCATTGAATGTGCTGGGTCGAAAATAAAATCCGGTTTATGGAAACATTTATGGTTCAGCCAGTCCATAAAGACCAGCGTTTTCTCGCCGCCGTAGCATTGGTGCCATATGATTTAGTCCCATGTTGACATTACAGCGTCACATGCCCAAACTTCAGTAATACGGAGCTTGAGTCACAAGTGATTTGCACGCGCTGGATGCAAATAATGGTCGATACATGACGAAGGCCAGCAAAAAATTGTCGGCACTTCTCTCCCAGCAGCCTTCAGCTAGAACAGGTGACGTTTGATTCCCTGGCAGGCGCCAGTGAGGGCGAGAGAGAGAAGAGAGAGAGAGAGAGAGAAGAGGGAAGAGAGAGAGAAGAGAGAGAAAAGAGAGAAGAAGCGGCGAGGAAGAGAGCGAGCCGAGAGATAGCGCGAGAGAGAAGACGAACGCAAAGAGCGAGAAGAGAGCAGAACTCGAGTGTGTGTGTGTGTGTTTTGTGTGTGTGTGTGTTGTGGTGTGTGTGGTGTGTGTGTGGTGTGTTGGTGTTTGTGTGTGTGTGATGGTGTTGTGTGTTATGTGTGTGTGTTGTGTTGTTTGTGTGTGTGTGTTTTGTGGGTGTGTGTGTGTGTGTGTGTGTGGGTGTGTGTGTGTGTGTTGTGTGTGTGTGGTGTGTGTGTGTGTGTGTGTGTGTGTGTGTGTGTGTGTGTGTTGTGTGTGTGTGTGTGTGTGTGTGTGTGTGTGTGGTGTGTGTGTGTGTGTGTGTGTGTGTGTGTGTGTGTGTGGTGTGTGTGTGTGTGTGTGTGTGTGTGTGTGTGTGTGTGTGTGTGTGTGTGTGTGTGTGTGTATGTGTGTGTGTATGTGTGTGTGTGTGTGTGTGTGTGTGTGTGTGTGTGTGTGTGTGTGTGTGTGTGTGTGTGTGTGTGTGTGTGTGTGTGTGTGTGTGTGTGTTGTGTGTGTGGTGTGTGTGTGTGTGTGTGTGTGTGTGTGTGTGTGTTGTGTGTGTTGTGTGTGTGTGTGTGTGTGTGTGTGTGTGTGTGAGGGAGAAAAGGAAAAAGCCCTCTTCGAAACGCGACAACTAGCCCTACCCTGATTCTGACGATATCCCCGTTTAAGATCGACGCAGTGAGAATATTGATGCCTGACGTTATCTTGGAATGGTCCTTAATATCTGCCAAGCCAACGTCGACAAAAACGCCATTTTTAGAAGAGCGCGTAAGTTATCCATCTTGGTTTCCGCATCGTGGGCGTGTTAGGAATAGCTCACGGAACCTATATCGATGCCGACACATTTGAACCTGTTGACCTTCGTCTGAGAAGGTCGGAACAGGTTAAGCATGGTAATTTCAGGACCAGTTTGGTGTGGCATAGTCGCGGATCAGATCTTGAAGAGCGTGACAGCTACAAGGTACAAGCAGCATCCTGCGCCGTCGGGTGGAGAGGGGCCGCCACTTAGTCGGGGAGCCAACCAGTAGTCAGTGTGATGGCCCCAGACCAAGTTCACAAATCACAAGCACGAAATGCGCGACGAAGCGAATCCACTTTGGAAGAATATGCATCAGGATGTGCTCAATTTTAGCTGGCATATCAGTTTTCACGCCGCTGAATGAACAGACGAAGCAGTGAAAATAAAACGTTTCCGGCTCGTGGGGTAACGCCGTAAGCCTGAAGCGTAGTGAAGTGTGCTTTCAGCTCCATGCAACTGGCTTCTGTACATAAGTCCGCCATTTGACTAGTCTGTGCGCTGTATAGCTCCACGGGGAGGATGAATCCGTGGGCATCCGTATGAAATAGACAGCGGGCTGGGCTGAGTACAGAGTTTGGGAAAATTGCGGGTATGGGTACGGGTATAGGTAAAACATTTACGAAATATCGAGGTAGATGCTTCAAAAATGCGACACAGTGCTATTGTTCATCCCTCTCTTGGTCACAATTGGCCCCATTCACACCGCTTCTACAATTATCAATGCTGAAAGTGCGTTTTGGTGTAGCATTTTCGCCAAAATCCTCCATGGCGTAGAGCTCAATTGTTGTCGAAAAAGGGAAACTGGTTGGTAACTGTGGGGTAAAACTGATTAAGAATTGGCAAAGGCATGTGGGCACAGCCCCTCAGGGGGATTTGGTTAAGGAAATTGTGCCCGTGATGGCATCTATAGTGCGCTCTTCGTTACAGGATGGTGGTGTCTCCTGTGTTTACACACAATTTCGAGTCGAGTTTTCGAGTAAAAAATCAGGGTTTCTCGTCTGCCTAGCCTCCTGGTGTTCACCAGCACAAACGCTGTCGCTCCCACTGTATCTGGCAGTGAGAGTTTGTCGATTCGCCTCATACTAGAACTCTCTGCGTTCACAATGTCTCACGCAGAGCGGGGCAGCAGCTGCTCGACTGTATAGTGAATGCTCATCATGGGCCGGGTATACACCGCTTGTTGGTTGTTATACCGCTCCGATATGTACCCCTCTTATATACAATGGTGGTTCTACCTCGGGTATACGCTATGGTGTGTCATCAGTAACAAAACCAAGCGAGACGAAGAAATTCCTTGGCGCTAGAGCTCGGCAGTACACGGCGTGGAAAAGTTTTACCCAAAAACTTGAAATTGTGATGCGCGACCGATCGAAATATCGCTGCAAACCGGCGCACGGTGTTGCAGTCACCGTATGCTGGACGGTGTCAGCTGTCGCAGGTAACCGTGGGCGGTAACCGTGGTAACCGCCAAGCCGTGGGCGGCAAGCGATTCAAAATAACTTCGCGCGTGGAAACGATACTGCCGAGCGGTTCTTAAGCTGTCGTACGAAAATGTCTTGGCCTCAAGTCAAATACGCGAATCAGACATTGCCCAATTGATTGCCATATGACATGCGTCATTGAGTATGAACTCGGTGGACGAGTACGCTGGCTTGTACTGCTTTAGGCTTTCATTGCTCTAAGGCAACTCACGTGCTGAAAACAAAACCATGCATATCATATAACCCAGAATATATTACCTGGTGTGCTACTTAATGCATATGGCAAGGCCTACAGTCTGCACCAAGGACGTGGAAAGGGTTAGGGCGGCAAGATGTGCGACGGGTGTTCTGCCTGTATTCGGTGCCTAGTTTCTGTTCGTTTCATTCGAATTGCTATCGTTCATAAGCTGCTGTTGAAGCGTAAATAAACTATGTTCTGGGTCAAATTGACCATTAAATGTAATTGGCTAGGATATAAAAAATGTTGTTCATCATTTTACGTTTGGAAGTTTGTAAGTTTTATATATTTGGAAGTATTTTGGAAGTTTTTTTATTTCTTATACGTTCTGCAAATACAATATGTCCACGCAATCACCTTTTACATAGGTACGTTGTTACTTGCATTTGCGAGGAGCATTATGCATATAAATGGGTCAGTAGCAATACCATTATTCCCGTGGAATAACCAGGAGAATATAGAAATAGATGCATTGGTATTTCGGGTTGATGCCTTGATCGAGACCAATATCAGTAGTAAATGTTTACTAGTAAGAAATGCCTTCCACTGAAATTGGTTTCGATAAATACTTATGACCAAAATAGCAATCCATCTATCTCTCCCTTGTCCTGGTTATTCTACAAGGAATAGGACTATTACTACTGTCTTATCAGCACAAGTTAATAAGCATTTACACACTTACCATGGGCACATATGTGGCCAACTGGCGGAACGAGCGTGCTAGGGCGAGTCTCTCAAACTCTTCGAGACCTAGTGTCCCGCTCAATGCCCGGTCACCGACTGACCAGCCCGCAGGGCAGCAGCGTCCCGCTCAATGCCCGGTCACCGACTGACCAGCCCGCAGGGCAGCAGCGTCCCGCTCAATGCCCGGTCACCGACTGGCCGGCCCACAGGGCAGCAGCGTCCCGCTCAATGCCCGGTCACCGACTGGCCGGCCCGCAGGGCAGCAGCGTCCCGCTCAATGCCCGGTCACCGACTGGCCGGCCCACAGGGCAGCAGCGTCCCGCTCAATGCCCGGTCACCGACTGGCCGGCCCACAGGGCAGCAGCGTCCCGCTCAATGCCCGGTCACCGACTAGCCAGCCCGCAGGGCAGCAGCGTCCCGCTCAATGCCCGGTCACCGACTGACCGGCCCACAGGGCAGCAGCGTCCCGCTCAATGCCCGGTCACCGACTAGCCAGCCCGTACGGCAGCAGTGTCGCGGGCAGTACCCGGGCACCGACTGGGCAGCCCGAAGGGCAGCGCGCACTGTTGGCAGCTATCAACATTGCGCATAGAGATAGGTCGGACTCTAGAGTCTCTCTCCGGCCTCTCTCACCAGTCTCCCAAATAAAGGTGTTTGCAGTGGACCGTGTCGTGGCACGAGGGCGCTACTTGAGGTTGGTTGGTCTCGCCATGCTGATTGCTCTTGAAGGCTCCCAGTCCATGCCCAGTCCGCTGGCGGAGAAATTCACGATTGTGCTGAGCTTGTATCCGAATCACTCCTACTGCGGTGCGACTGCTTCAAGTGCACCAAAAGGATGCGCACATATTCTGCTGGCATCTGAAATATGATTAGAGTGCCTGGCACTTGAGGAGCGTTGAATGTGTAAAATGTGTATTGTTTTGGCCCATTCTAATATGTCATGAGCCTCCCGGCTATTGTTGTCTTCAATAGCGACATATGATCGTTGTCTTTCCTGTATGTTTGTGAACCGCATGCTACGCAACTGGCCATGTACGACATCGCCACAGTCACAGTTTTGTACAGTCACCGGCCTTGTTTGTCTCCACATGGATTCCGACCGGCTCGGTGACTTCGAGCACGATGTTCTTCACAAACATCTTCTGAATCTCCTCCAGGGACTTGCCCCGCGTGCGGGGCAGGCACACCTTGCCGAACGCGAACAGAAGCAGGTGCATGCCGGTGAAGAACCAGTACACGGTCGGGATACCCAGCCGCGAGACGGCCAGTGGGAACGAGTACATCATGACGAAGTTTGCGGCGCCGAAGAAGAGCAGGCACACGCCGCCAACCTCTGCGCGAATAGCGTTGGGCAGCAGCTCCGACAGCATGACGAAGACCACCGTGCAGATGCCGGTGGACATGAGGCAGACGATGACGAGCACGGCGAGCACCGGCACCCAGGCGTGGTCGGCCAGCTCGGCCTTGTAGACGAACGCCAGGCCGGTGGCGAGGCAGCCGGCCGCCCCACCGATACCGTTGACCATCAGGAGCGTCCTCCGCTCGACGCGGTCCATGATGAGCAGCGCCACAACGGTGGAGATGACGCGGACGGTGCCAGACAGGATGGAGCCCAGGTACGGGTCTTCAAACCCACCCAGATCGCGGAACACGACCGGCGCAAACGAGGACGTGCTTGAGCCGCCTGAGAACACGAAAAACATGTACATGGCGAGCACGAGCAGGAAGGGGACCAGGTTCTGCCGGTGGCGCAGCAGGCAGAGCACCTCCAAGACGGACGCGTCGTGCTTGTGGTCACCGCCGAGTGACTCGCGGATCTCGCGAATCTGTCCGTCCGCGTCGAAGCCCTCTCCTTGGTAGAAGCGCAGCGATCGCTTGGCCTCCTCCTCCGGGTAGCCCTTCGAGATGAGCCACTTAGCGGAGCGCGGCAGCAGGAGCGACATCAGGAACTGCAGCGCCGGCGCGGCACCCATCACCAGGCAGGCGTGTCGCCAGCCCACGAGCCAGCCGAAGAGGTAGGAGGCCAGGACGCCCATGCAGCCGTTGACGAGCGGTAGGGTGGTGAGGTAGCCGCGGATGCGCACAGAGGACACCTCGCCCATGTAGGCCACGGCTGGGCCCATGCACACGCCGTTGAAGAGACCAACCATGGCGCGGCCGGCCAGCAGGCTCCAGAAGCTGGGGCTGAAGGCCATGACCACCCAGGCGGCCAGCGCTGCCGGCGAGGAGAGCTGCATGATCCGGACCGCGCCCAGCCGCGGGCTGGCGTAGCTGGAGACGATGAAGCCCAGCATGCTGCCGATGCTGAAGATGGACACGACCCAGGAGACCTGCGTCTTGGTGATATTGAGGTCGGCATCCTCGGTGGTCAGCTGGTCAGCCAGCACGCCGCCAAACGAGAGGGAGCCGGCTAGGCAGAAGTTGGCCATGGAGGAGGTGATCGAGGCCAGAACCTGCCCAGAAAGAACCCGTCGTGAGACAAGGAAGGTTGCATCTAGCAGCGCGGCCAGTGTGAGGCTGGCGCTCGTGTCTCCTCACGCCCTCACCATGGGGCATTGGGTGAGCTCTGGCCACAGAGCAAAGCGCCTTGTTAGGGACTTCTGTGTTGACCCAATGTGTTTAAAGCATCTACTTATCTTTTGTAGTCCTCTTTCTTTATATTTCTATCAGCGTTTTCTGTTCTTTTTCTCGTCCTTTTTGTCTTTTTGTTTTTGATTTATTTTATCTGTTCTTACTATTCTTTCGTGTTTTTGTCTTTTCCATTCATGTAAATACAGTTTATATCGGATGTGCTTAGCGTATAACTTACATGCAGACACTCCTGTTGCGACGACCCGAATTTACCTACTGGATATGCACTGCAAACTTTAAATATCGCTGTTTCACATTAAAATTGCAGTCGGAGGACATGCTAAGTTGACATCAGTGCATGTAAGATAGGTTTGAAAACATGTTTCACCTATGTGTAACATGTCTCGCCAAAAATGTGGGTTGAACTACTCAGAGGTATGGGCGTGCTGATGCGAGCATGCACTCTGAGCTTAGTAGCCAATATCATATCATCCTTTCTATGAAAACAGTGGGCTGAATAGCTCCAGAAATAACCTTTGCAACATGACGCGCATTATCTTGCAATGCATGCTGCGATGCCAAATTACGCATTGTTTAATGAAAACAACACTTGCTGCATGCCGCTTATCCGCAAAGATACGATTCAGTCGTGCGCTTTGACCATTTCGGTTCAAGTCATATTTTGCTGACAACGATTTTGCTCATACATTGCAAAGATTAGGGGGATTGTGTTCAAAGCGATTAGGCCGCGTTTTCCGTCCAATGCTGTGCATCACCTCTGGCGTTCTTTTCCCGAAACATGTCTTAGTTTGGCAGAAGGCCCGGTTTAAAGCTATTATGGCTTGATATCCCATGGTCTACCGCGCGAAAACATCCAAAATCTTCTATCTTGACTTGACTCTAACCAAATCAGAAATTACTGAGTCTGACTCCCGTTGTGTGGCTGCCCTCCCGCTATCGAAAAATTAGCGTTGACCACGAGACCAGTTGAACTTTTAAGAGTGCTTTTATTATAAATGTATGATAATCTTAGCCGTGCCATTCACCATGTTTCCCACAGCACAAGAACCAGTGACCGAACGCCGGGGCGGCTCGAGGTTCCGATGAGCACCGCAGTCCCTGTCACTGTTATTTCCGCGGTCCTGCACACCCCAAAACCAACGGCTGGGTCCGTCCAGGGCGCCAGTTTCCCGTCTCCCTCCACATTACCAGGGGCGACGCCACGGATTTTGAGTGGGGAAGGGGGGCAGGATGGTTTCAGGGGTCCTCCTCACAGGGAGCCTCCTGGGCAGTATTGTATTCAAGGGTAGGGGTATCGAGGGCATGTGCTTCCTTATTAAATTGCTACATGCATGGTATCTAAGTGAATTATCATACCGACAATGATAAAATCCAGAGCGTAGACCTCCTGCTGCAGAAAAGGATCACCTAATCAATAGCAGGCATACTTATCCAAAACTGGGTGCTTCCGGTTCTCGGAAGGGCCTCCAAATATGTCCAAGGGGTCTCGTTATCCCAAAAGAAGGCATCCTGACCGGGAATCGCGGCCATCTTATGCATGAAAGGGGCCTCCTGTTCCAGAAATGGGGTCTCCTGAATATAAAGTATGCCTCCTTACCCAGACCACGGTCTTCTTAGTTCGTAACGGGGGCCTCCCGAGCTAGCAAAGCGCCCTCCATAACATAACATAAAGCCTACCAATATAGAGCATGGACTGCCATATACATAAACGTGTCCTTATGACCCAGAAAATGGTTCTCTTGATGTACAAGAGGTTTTCCTGAGCCCGATTATAATTTTTTAGCTCAGTTATGGAGGCCCCCCTTGACCTGAATTTTGATAAACTGCTAGTAGCTGCAATACATTTAGTTTGCGAAAAGGGAACGCCGAAAAATCTTGAGGGGCAAAAGTTTACTCTTGCTTTCCCTGCCGCTCAGCAGTTGGGAATAATGTTCACTCTGCCCCCCGCCCCATTTCAAATCTTGCGATGCTTTTGCCCGAATCACAAACCAATAAGACTACTAAGTTCTATGTTTGTCATTGCAACCATCGTCATAAGTGATAAACATGGAAAACAGTTTTATGGTGACGGTGTAGTTTGTCGACAGCATTACTGTCCACCATTCCTGCTTCAGTTTGCAATGACCAGCAAGAGCCAACCACGCATGCACCATTCGCAATGTCATTCTCAACCCGAGGGCTTAATTGTCCTCAACCAACAGCTAAATCAATTGCCGCAGGAGCTTCTTGTGACCTTTCACATATCAGGCAGGGGTCACATAATTATAAGCGCAGTATAGGCATCGTTACACAACAGGCGTCCTGGCAACTGGCACTGGGAAACTGCGTCCTGGAAACTAAAACCTGCGTCCTGGCAACGGAAGATGCATCCTGGCAACACAAACTGTGTCTTGGCGACTGAAAACACGATTAAGCATTTAAGCGTTGTTGCTATGCATCACACTCGCATCTAATTAAGACAAAGTAGAGCTCATTAGCCGGATTCTGGTGTGACCGTTGATGTCAGATGATATAGCTATCACGAGGCATCAGCAGGTCGATACTGTGTAAAAACTGCCCACTCTAGTGAGGGTTTATTGCTTATCACCTGTTGATTTATCCTACAAACAGTTTATAATTGGGCCAGCGTTTCGTAATAAGCAGCACCGCCTAGACCAAACAATTAACGACATACGACCTTTTTTGATAGTAGGACTTTTTTGAATATTTATTTAACATTTCATTGGATGAATTTCTAGGCTCAGAGCTCACAGAAACCAGTGCTTGTTGCATGATCTCTGACCCGTACCATCACAAAATTTCATGCCAATAGCGAAATTTGGTGGTGAATGTTTAACGTGCCGCATTGCTCGGCATGGTGCTGCTCTATGACGCCACTTGCCCTTTAGCTTGATCATGTGTCTAAATAGCAAGAATCAGGCGAGATCTTATGGCATAGACTACGTTGTTGCATTTTATGTCATTAATTTGGCAAAGGATTTCATATTATCGAGAAACACTGCCTGGTACATTGATCTAGCCGATGAGACGCCTTATCTGGAAAGAAATCGAGTCCCCCGCGAAACGTCACTGGTTATCAGGTTCACATAACCTAAAGATTGAGTGATCGTGGAGCATATCAAGGCTACGTAGGAATGAAAAGTGAAGTGTTATGGCTGGATAACAGAATCTAGCAGTTGCATGGCACCGACCGACATTCTGAACGCGTCGTTAACTGTTCGAGTGATGCGGTCCATGCGCCGTGGAGTGATTTATTCGGATATACGTTTAAATGATGCATTTGCGGCTAACAAAACTTATGATGATAAACTGAGCAGAAGGAGCGGTCAGTAACCTTAATTGTGACGGTTCGTGTGGATACAATTTTTATCACGCTGGACTTCGCATGCAGTACGTTATGCGAAAGTCAAAGGAAGTTATTTCAGCAATTACTAGACCATTCGTCTCTCTGTTGATGTTGCCTGCCTGCGCAGCTATTGCAATGCGACCGAGTTTATTCGTTCACCTGGTGGCCCACCAATATACCAACATAATCAGCAAACGGATATTTACAGTATATATGAAAAAAGTACAGATATTCACCAGAATTTACAATTTCTTGAACTTATAAGCGAAGCAACGGAAGATCTCTGAAAATGATGTCGCCAATCCCGAGAGGCCATAACGTCATCCTCGAGAGGCCACAAGGTCACCCTTCCTCGAGAGGCTCTTAGACCACGACACCACATAAACCTCAAGGCTGCGTTTTAACACAGGAGCTTAAAACTCCGCACCGCTTCCAAAACCGCAGTAAGTCGTCGCCTTTGCGGCGATGAAGCCTGATCACCAGCAAACGGAGGCGAGGTACTTCATGCTAAGGCGGCCATTAAGACTCAACGACCATGTCGATTTTCCCTCGCTCCCATCCAGACAGGTAATATCAATCGTGTCGATGAGACACTTCCTACACACTACCTAAGCTGAGAGCTTGTCATTGCAGCGATGACTGCCTCTAAATGATTGTCTTTCAAGAAATTCCCAAAGGTGTATGCGTGAGCACACGCCTATTTTTACGTGGGTAATCATGTAGTAACCTTCCTGTTCCCGTGCCGGTCAAACTGAGCCTGCTTGACGTAAAACTTGCACCGGAAGTTTGCATCGAAAGCTCCTCTATAGCGTCTTGTCAGATCCGCGGCCGTAGCGCCCGTCGCGCGCCGCCGCTCTCCGCCAATCACCGGCAGTCCGTGTCACCAATCCCACACGTTCTCCGCCAATCACTGGCAGCCCATGTCACCAATCCCAGACGTTCTCCGCCAGTCACCGGCAGTCCATATCCCAAATCCCAGACGTTCTCCGCCAATCTCCAAGCAGGAAACAATCAGGAATCGCAACTGGGCCATCGCATTCGCGTAGCTCATGACAGTGCTTTAGTCCCAGACAATACAGTCGCATTTGAGGCTCTCAGCAAATCACGGCTTGAAATTTACTCTGCCGACTTGCCGGCACCCAACCAAAAGCCTCCAAATGTCAGTCACAGCCGAACAATACACCTACAAAAGATGTAAAAGCGACGCCCTAGAACAAAACATGACTTAACTAAGGCGTGGCCAAAAAAAAACATTTCTTAAAGTGCAACTAAGCTATTCATGGAACGGTAGTACAAGCTTTAAGTCGCTGCCACTAGCAGCTCAAATGTTGGCACAGAGAAGCGACAAGCGTATGCATAATGTAGGCCATCCCCCACGACCGGCAGATTGCTTTGGAATTCTGCCAGTATGCACCATAAAACACAACAATAAAAAATAGTCATATTGCCAAGATGTCCTGCGTTACATCTAACGGCAGCGATTATATCTACCGGCTGCCCTTTGCTACATTATGACGAT